AGGCAAGTGCGGGCTGCCAAGTGCAGGAGGAAGCAGACTCACCGTCGTTTTGGTGGCATGGGCAGCCAGCTTTGGCAACTTCGGACTCTGGGCGTGGTCTGCCGTTCGGCGGGTCAACCTTCTTCGCCTGTTTCTGCTGGTCGGAGACTCGGAGATTCTCATCTTCGCGACAAAAGAAAGCAGTGAAAGCAGGCTTTGCTGTTACTAAGTTTTATCGTTTGAGTCTGCAGACTCTCAATTCAGAGAACTGCCCTTATTGTAGACCCTTCACTGTGCCCCCGACCCGAACATGATCGCACACCACTTGAACAGGTCGTCACCGACCTAATTTTTGATTTCGGGGGTTTAATTTTCAGGCTTCAGGGTTTAGTTTAGTGCTTAGGTTTTTCCTCGGTGTAGGGTGCCTACAAGCTAAACAGGTTCAACTTCAACCGTTCACCGTTCGATCCTAGGACTTAGGAAAGACATATCCATGCGAACCCGAAGCCGAGTCCGCCGAAACTCCGAAACTTGCGAGAGTGAGCGACGAAACTTCAGCCCTAATGCGTAAACTACACTCCTACAGTTGAACTCTAAACTTCTTAATTTTATGCCCCAAGCCTAAGTCTAGGCTTGAAAATTGAAACCCTAAATGGCCCGGTCACACATCCCAGTGCAAAACTTGTGCCAGACAAGGGTTCGTGTGTGCTTCTTATTATTCTTGCGGTCTGAGCTTGTGGATCCTAGGCAGGGCCCTAGGCGAGCCAGGGGGCGAGCGAACAGGAAACACAACAGACTCTGTTCAACAGACAGAGAGAGAGTGAGGGAGAGAAAGAGGAGAGAAATATCCATAGAGAACTTGGAGAATCATTGAAGTGAGTGATTCACAGAACTCCTAGGACTCCTAGGGCCATAGGCCATAGGAGATGCACTCTGCGTGGCTTGTCTGGTCGAAGGTCAAAGCCCGGCCGAAAGAAGGCCGAGGAGAAGACACCGTATGATTTCTCTGCGCTCGTCAACTCCAAGCGCGGCACTCAGCTGCAGATTTGGTTGAACTGAAAGGGTCCATTCGGCTGCAATCTCAATTCAATTGTCATAAGTGACCTTGATTGTTGACGGGCATGGCTGGGCTTCAGGACCGTCGGCATGGTCGATGCCGATGAAGGAATTATGTCAGCTATGGCCTATGCGGAGTATGTGGATTATTACACATCCAAGGCTCCCAGCTACAAGAGCTGCACAGACGCAATTCAGAATACATGCCATTAGTATCACTAGATCGCCATCCTTCGTGTGAGAGCCCAGGGATGACCCCGGCCAAAGCGGACGAGAAGTGGCGTGCCGACCTGAATGATCCATCCGTGAGGAGGAAGAAGGTTCGCAGATGGGACACCGGCGAGATGGCCACATGAAACGAATATTGGGTCATCGCAGCAAACCGTCGCATCGTCGCATGTGAAGCACACCAAATCACCAAGATCATCCACTGCTGTGGCTCTGCAACTCGCGTCACGTCGCACGTCGCACTCGGCATCACCAAACGGTTATCGTTGTGTCTTATCTGAGGTGACATTGCTGTATGTCCAGACGAGGGATGAGATCCGAAAGTCGAAGTACCAGGACCTGACTCACTTGACCGCACAGCCACGTAGGTCATGTAAGGGTGTTGTGCAAAACTGTGCCATGCAACATGCTATTCAGTTTAGCTTGTGTTTTTGGCTTGATCAGACAGCAATAGGCTAAGCTGCTATACGGCTATACTGATAAGGACACCAGTGTGCGAGTGGAGACGACCAGTACCGGCAAGACTGAATTGGCGACTCAGAAGTTCAACACGGCGGCTTCGCAGACCGCCCGCAGGCTCGTGGATGCGGATGACGGTGCCCCGTCCCTGTCGGAGACTGCCCTGTGCTTGCTGAACAAATGCACTGCGTGAGCAAACTGAGGAATCAGCTTCAATTGTCGAATTGGCTTATCCTTGGAAGATGATGTTTCCGTGATGATGGCGGCTGATGGTTCTACTTCTAATTCTACTGCGGCCACCGCTCGTGGCTCCCGTGGCGCCTCTGCCCCAGGTGGTGGTGGTGGCCGCGGAGGCAAGCCAGGCAAGAAGTTCACGTGCGCCTTGGATCCATGTAGTAGTCCATAAACGGCTTCGAGTCTACGCTGCACAGTCTGCAATAGTTTGTAACGAGGTGTTGTTGCAGCTTCAGCAAGCTTGCGGGCAAGTACTTTGAGACTCTACAACCAAACCCAGAAGATGTTATCCGATGCGGTTGCCATGGCCAATGATGCTATTTGCAAAACCGAGGCTAATGATTGAGATATAGTTGCACTTTGTTGATCCGTGCGCGTGCTCGTTTCGTCCCTGTGCAAGGCTGAAGAAGCAGCTGCCCGTTGTCAGGCAGACGCTGCGAAAGAAGCAGGCGACAAAGGTGAAGATGCGGAAGATCCTTCTTCGAAGATGTCTGATGACCCGGTCTTTGCAAGCTTGCAACACAGATTGAAGCTTGAACCTTGTTTGCAGTAGGGTTTGTTGCAGCTGTGTCCCACTGTACTGCTCACCCATGGCATGACTGGTTCTGATTGAGTCTGCAAGATTCTGAGGGAGTTTTGTCCGTGGGGTCGGAGCAACTCAATGGGCATATCAGCAATGATGAGATGACTGCGAATGAAAGGAAGATGCAGGACCTTGTAGCGGCTGATGGGTACTTGAACTGATGGATACTTGAAGGAGTGTCTCCTGGAGATGTCCAACACCTCTTTGATGTCGCTCGACCGTGTCCGAGCACTTCGGACACGCACCGAGCTCCTCGGCAGTGTCGAAGCTGTCGAGGAAAGCTTCACATCGGCGACGAATGGCATGAATTTCTTGCAGCAGATCGCCGGGTCTTTGAAGACGATCGTGAACCAACACGTTTCGGCGGCCCAAGCCCTGAAGAAAGCTCGGCAGCAAGAATCCGAGACACATCGGAAAGAACTGGATAGACAAGCGAAGGAAAAAAAACGGGAACTAGAAAAAGAGGCTAAACTGCAGAAAAAGCTTGCCGATGGCAAGAACGAGCCGTCCCCAGCGGGCGGTTGCGGAGCAGGATCGGATGCCAAGCGCCGCCGTTTGTTTCCGTCCGCCTTCACTGAGCACGACCCAGTGGTGTTGACAGCGCAGGGCTGGTCGGAACGACAGGTGACTGTCGTGGAGAACTACGCACCTCGCCTTCAGGTCACGAGTGCGACAGTGGCCGTGAATTGTTGCTTAGATCCAGAGTCCCGAGGCAGCTGCTGTGAGCAGGGTCTTGGAAGGTGAGAATGTCATCATTCGCTGCCGGAGGGCAAACGTCAAGAAAGCTATGGAGGTTGCTTGACGTCCCGTTAATCACGCTGCTGCTGTTGCATTTCGGAAGCCACCTGATTCGCCTAAATCCTTGAAGCAACTAAGTTCAACGCGAGCCTCACGGATGCGTTGGAAAGCAAAGACATAGGGCTGCTCAACAAAGAGGGCTTGTCGGACATAAAAGTCTTTTTGGGAGAACTACCGCAGCTGTTCGAGGCCAGTTATTGCGTACAGAACACCTCAGAACTGCTCAGAGCCTATGTGTTTGTGTTGTCGTCTGAGGACACCGAGAAGCCCCGGCATGCAAAGCTCTTGGAAAGTGACTCTCTTGCTACTGCTGCCATGCACATGTGTCTGCGTGACCAGCTTCGGGACAACTATGAGCGTTACTACATGGAGGCGTCACGAGCCACGATGTTTGTATGGGTAGGGTTCTGTTGTACAAGTGTGACTGCTGCCGCTCTGCCTCCACAGGATCATGCTCTACGACCACGCACTGGTGTGGTGCTCGACTTCCACGGCCTGAAGGAAAAGCTTGGTTCGCAGGGCAGCCAAGGGGCTGAGGCTGAGGACACTGAGGACCCACACGCGACGGCCAAGGAAACGAGTGCCGCATGAACGTGCAATCGTGGTATTAGGCTCCACTTCCGTGCGGTCCTGTTCTCTTGTGTTCAAGTATGCAGGAGTGCCTTCAAAAACTGACGACGGTGCACCTGATCGGAGAGCAGGTGGACAAGGTTCACCAGCACACGATGCCCGGAGGAATGGGTGCGATTCTCTTCCAGGCAGCTGCAGGGATCTCAAGTAAGCCGCCAAGGGTTTGTGAGTCACGTCAGGAGTGTGAGGACAGTCATGTGTTAGTTGTCAGTTGTCAGTGTCAGTCATGAGTCATGAGTGGTGGCTGAGCAACAGAGTGATGTGAGTGGTGTCGTTCTGTTACAGCATGTGCAACAAAGTCTGAGTACCTGAGGCGCTTGGTTGCAAGCGTTTCAGCGTCGCCAGTGTTCTGGACTTGATGAAGCTGCCTCCTGTTGACATGAAAGACAAATTGGATGCATTCACGAAGCTGACGCCAGAAGTTGCGGCCAAGCACGATCTGAATGTGTTGGCCGGAGCCCTCCTGCCAGGCATTTGGATATGGTGTTGCGAGCCTTTGCCTTTGTAACTTCATGAGTTGCTTTACAAACCGGCATGCTGCGCAGGTGACGCCCTGGTGCTGCAGCCTGGCCAGATCCTGGTGACGAAGACGCACAACGAAACAAACATATCAGCAAGGCTGGGCATCGGGTACGTGCATGCGATGGAGCCACTGGAGGCTATGAATGCCTTGGTGCACCCAGGTCTGCACTAGTTCCAGTCCTTTCGCATGGCTAGCCAGTAGCACCATGGCTGCGTGGTTGAGTGGTTCTTCTGTGCTGCATGAAGGCAAGGGCCGGAGCAATCGGGCATGATCGATTTCCTCATTGCACATGCTCAAGAAGCATTTGCGGAGAAAGCCGCTTTTGTGCCTCCTCCTCAAGACGGTGATGATGGTTCAGCGAATGAGCTGGAGGAGCCAGATAATCCGAGTGACTTTTATCCAAAGTGTGCAAGCAGTGTAGCGGTGTTTTCCAGCTTTCCTTTGCAGGCAGGTAGTCTTTCTCACTGCACGCGTTCATCAGATTGTAGCTGTCTTATTGTCTGCGAACTGGCGAACTTATTTGCAGGGCCAAGATCAAGATGACGAAGACGACGGAGGTGGCCGAGATGATGATCGACTTACGTCTATTCTTGATGAGATTGAAGAGGATGTGGAAGAGGAGGCTGCAAAGAAGCTTCAGGCTCAGGCTTCTAAGGCCCACACGGGCCCAAATATATCTTTGCTGTTGCAAGGTTGAAGCCATGAAGTGCCAACAAGTAGCAAGTGTGAGCTGCAGATTTATTTGTAGGGTGTGTAGCAAGGCCTGGGGTCAGGGGTCCTGGAGTCCTGGGTTTTGGACGTTTTGGAGCAATAAATAGATCTGGCCTGGCCGGGCCGGTTGTTTGGCAGGACAAAGCTAGCAAGGCTGAAAAAGAAACGGAGGCACAGGCCGCAGAGGCCGAGCCGACGAAACAGAGTGAGGAGTTCCGTTAAACCGTTAAAGCCGTCAAAGTCAAAGCCTTGATTTAGCAGGTTTCGCCAGGTTAAACCCTACAGCCTACAGCCTACAGCCCTAAACCCTAAGCCTAAACCCTACAACTACAACCCCTAAACCCCCCTAGAACCCAAATCCCAAGCCCTAGACTTTGCACGCTAATTGTCTTTCTAGGATTCTAGGATATGTGCCATGATGTGTGCCGTGTGTTGTGCTGCGCTGTAACGTGTTGTGGGTCGGGGATCTGGGCAGTCTGGGCGTCTGGGTTTGATTTGAGTCTGGGTATGGGTCTCTGGGTTCTTTCGACAATGCAGAGCTCGATTTTATCAGCGTGCGGTTGCATGGTGTGGCAGGACGCAGGGGAGGAAGATAAAGATCCAAAGTCACAGGTCGCAGAGGCTGAGCCGGCAGAGCACAAGGAGACAAAGGTGCCATGATGTGTGCCGTGTGTTGTGCTGCGCTGTAACGTGTTGTGGGTCGGGGATCTAGGCCGTCTGGGCGTCTGGGTTTGATTTGAGTCTGGGTATGGGTCTCTGGGTTCTTTCGACAATGCAGAGCTCGATTTTATCAGCGTGCGGTTGCATGGTGTGGCAGGACGCAGGGGAGGAAGATAAAGATCCAAAGTCACAGGTCGCAGAGGCTGAGCCGGCAGAGCACAAGGAGACAAAGCAGAATGAGGACCAGTGCTCAGTTCAATCATTGACTGCAGTCTGCCAGTGTGGTTCCAGGCTCATGTGTGAATGAAGGTCATATGTTTCCATGCAATGCGGGGTCTCGGCGGTCTGGGACAGTCTGGGCTGGGTCTGATTTGAGTCTAGGTTCGAGGCTCTGTAGCACGGCACAAACATAATTGCGTGGCAGGACTCGGCGGAAAGAAAAGAGCAACAGGGGGGCCACACGGACGAGCAGGATCCGGGCTGCGGCTGAGTAGACTGCCTAATCAGGCCTCTAGAACCGGGACTCCAAACATCGCAGACGTGTTTTTATTTTTCTCATCGTCATCGTGCGGTTGCATTGTGCGGCAGGACAAAGCTGAAGGTGGGAAAGATCCACAGTCACAGCAGCTCACAGAAGTCACAGACGCAGAGGCTGAGCCGGCGGAGAGCAAGAAGACGAATCAGAGTGAGGACTTCCGTTAAACCACTCGGGCTCGGCCTGTCAGTTAAACCATTGATATTGACTGAC